CGTAACGTCTTGACATTGCAAGGTGGGAAGGGCGAGGAAAATGCCGAAAGCTCCCCATCCTCATCCCCTAGTGACATTTGGTCCTTTTCTGAGAGGTGCAGCTCTTCGAGCCCTGGGATTCTGGCAGAGCCAAGCCCTTCAGTGTGGCTGGTTGGTTTGGGTTTTTAAGGGCCCCTTCTAATCCTTCTGCTGTTAACACTACATAGCTATGCATTCTTAGACAAATAAAGGATAATTTTTTATACTGTAACCATAAAATCCTTATTAGAATTACAAGTTACTTTTCCCTTCTTTTGTAATTAATAGCGCTAATAATTCTGACTAACGATGACAGTGGTCTTTGCGATGCTTATTTAATCTTAGCAGGAGGAAATTTTGCTGTTTCTGTGCATGTAAAACTTCTGTTACTTGCATGGGGTTCCAGTGACATAGGTCATTATGTCTGTAATGCGTATTTATAGTTGTTTAAGGACCTGAATAGTTTGTGGAATAAATTCAGATGTGATATAGCCGGGAGCCCTGTGGGTTTTCATTATGCTATTGATTAAAAAAGCCCACCCCTACACCATGAAGGCAAGGGAAAGAATTGGAAACTGGGTGAAAATTCCTTTTCCTCTACATAAATAATTTCACATTTGTTTTTAAAAAGGAACCTTTGCTTATTTTTTTCCCCCCTTCAAGATCATCTCTGCCTTTGTTTGAAAAAGGTTATTGATTGGATTGTTAACTTAAATAGTCTGTGGCGGGTGTGACAGAGCACATGGCTGCAATTAATCTTGCCATGCAGAATCCATTATTGAAGAAGCACTAATGAGCCGTTCTAAGGCCTCCACTGGTCACAGAGCGCCTGGGAGCAGCAGATTGCTCCTGCCCTTTAATGTCAGCTTTGGTCTTTAGTGTTATCCAGCCAGAGTTAGCAGAAGAGATTTTTTTTTAAGGTTTTTTTTAGGGTATTTATGTGAAAACTCTCCTTACCTATAGTCTGCAATTGCACTGGGTGTGCAAGTCAAGAAATGGTCTCTGAGTGCCCCACTCCTCTGACCAGATGTCTGGTGGACATAGTGTACAATTAAAGCCAGTGGCATGTGAAACGCGGGTGTCACTATAAAATATGATCTCAGTCGCAGGGTTTAGATCTAGAGGAGAGTTTCGACAAAGATGAGGGAGCTTTCAAGCCTGAGCTATACTTTAAAATATTGCTTTAAGACAAGGGGATGAGCTGTTAGAAACCTTCTCGCTGCAAGTTTTATTGTCCATGTTGTTTATAGCTATTGCGGCATAGCAAAAGTTTAGGTTGAGAATAGTTATGGTAGATTAGAAACCGTTGATGTTAACATATCACCTTCTCCTTCAGCAGAACTGCTCCTGGGGTGTGTTTTAGAGGTCTTTCTATTGACTTCAGTGACACCATAAATATGTGTGACTTCTTTCCCCTGTTAGATCTGCGGAGCTGATACAGACGTGAGAGCGATCCAGGGTTTGCCAGGGCTGAGCCACCACCTGAATTATTCACTGAGTTCCAGCTTCAGACTCTTTGCTGTGCACCTTCGCTGTAGCAAATGCTGTTTCTCTCGAGATTAGCAAAATAAGGCTGTTTCTTCACCTTGTTCACAGAAGTGATGAATTCAAGCAAGAAAGACTTCCAGCTCTCCAGCTCATGGGCTACCACAGTGTCTGTAACTTGAACCACATTTTGGATTGCTCTTTGTCCAAAGCAAAATAGTTTGAGGGCTGAACTAGCCTTTTGTTGTTGTTGTTTTTAAGGGAATTTTACTGTACCCATAGTAGCCTGCCATATTCTGCCACAGAGGGGATGCCAAGAAGTGCTGTGGTATGGAGCAGGGATGGTGTTCACTAACACTGCTCCAGGAACTCCTGGATGTGTGAATTTTCTCAGAGGTCATAAAAAACACTGGGTTTTGAACCAAAGTAGCAGGAAAACCGAGAGATTGTCAGGACAGAGAGCAGGGAGGGCAGGAAAATGAATTTTAGTGTTCTGAGTATCTACTGACATGGTTGCCTTTCACCACAGTGCCTGATCACGCTGCTGGCCAAAGCAAAAATAGTCTTTCCAATGACATTTAGGCTGGGGTCGTGGTACCACAAGGCACGTTGTTTAATGTGAAAGAGGATCTGACTTAGAGGCCACAGAAAGACATGTCCACGAGATACTCTTTTTCCCTGAGCCACGCCATAAGCCCTGGGCTGACAGAAAACAATCTGCAGCTATGCAGACATGACTGTGGGCATTTTTTGGGCTCCTGTAGTCACAGCATTTGGAGAGAGAGCCCAATGGAGTGAATAAATTGGTATATTTTTGCAAAATATTTTTATGTTGCTACTAAAAAGGCAGCCACCATGGCCCTCACTCCACTATTAATATTTTCTAAGCAGTCCTCAGGCCACAAAAGCCCATTTCTTTTAGGCTTGTGGTAGGTGTGGTTCTTAAGAAGAGCTCTGCAAAATAGGATGGATCACCTCAAGTATGAGGCACCATCGATACAGAAAACCTGCAGAGGTGCTTTTTGAGGCAAATGAGGAATGAGACAGTCAAGACTGATAGCTG